GCATGCATGTGTATACATATCTGTAGATATCCACATATATCATCCTTTCTACGAAAAGAACAGATTCGATCCCCCTGGGGATATTCGGCAACCCTTCTTCGCATTAAGATGTGCATGCGTTTCTGCCTCACCGTCCATCCGACATGTGAACTATACCATCCCAGCCCAACCAGTATCGGCCCCCCCACCGCCACCCTCTGCAAAAAAATACGCGCGCAATCGTTTTTAACCAAAAAATGTCAAGAATCCCTTGCAAAAGAATGCACGCGCGCGTCGTCGCGCGCGCATGCCGAAATCCTGGAAACAAGAATTCGGGTTCGTGAGAATTCTAAAATCGAGTGTCCAAAACACGTGAGAAAACACAGGGTTTCGCAACACTGGTTTTCAGAACAACCAAAAAACCTGCGCGCTGCTGCAAACTCTTCCGGAAACCACATGTTTTTGCTTTCAAAACTTCGTAACATGCCACCAACCAAGCTTCGCGCGCGCATGTCGAAATCGTTCGAACGCCCTTGCGCGAGTGCTGGGGTGGTACGAGCCGCGTCATAAAATACCATACAGGCCACTCTGGCGCGTCTGCCGCGCGCGCATGTCGAACTCCTTCCAAAACCTTCATCACCGACGCGAAGACGCCGTCATCGTCGCCGGCGTTATCAGCATCGGCGCCGTCACTGGCTGCCCCGTCGTCGGTGTCAGAATCGTCACCAGCATCGCTACTATCATCATCGTGTTTACCGTTGTCGACGTTGCCATGATACCGCGCCCGCCCAACTCACCGATTCGCACTGGAGTGCCCGCTGGGATGTGCCGAGCGGTCAACGACACTGCGTTCGCGTCGGTCGCGCCAACTAGCCGGCCGCTGCGCGCGCGAGCATGCGCGGGTCAGTGCGGCCGCGGAGACGCACCAGCAAACACCAAACACCCGTCGCAATCGCTTCCGCATGAGTTTTGCAAACCAAATTGCGGGTGGGTGGGTGGGAAGATTGCACGAGTGGAGTCGACAACTTCAAGTTCGGCAAGGTGTACTCTCCTTTCGGGTATGTAAATCATATATGATTATGACCACATGTCCATCCTAAATATGATTTTACACTATCCCAGGGGGGCCGGGATCGGCCCCCCTGAGGTTCACTTGTAAAAAACAATACGCGGGGACATTTGTTGTTCGAACATAAGACTTGTCCACGAACCCCTTGCAAAAAAATGACAAAGTGCACGCGCGCGCGCCGTCGCGCGCGCATGCCGAAATCCTTCAAAAACCTTCGGTGCCGGAAAGATTTCGCAATCGAGATTCAAAAAAATACAAACACACATGGTTTCGAAACACTGATTTGGAAAAAAGTGGGGGGAAGAGGAAACAAATACAAAAAAAAAAAAAAAAAAAACGCAGGACGAGGGGCCCGAACGACTCACACCACGAAGAGCCCCAACGACTCACACCACAAGGAGGGGCCCGAACGACTCACACCAGGACGAGGCGCCCGAACGACTCACACCACGAGGAGCCCGAGCGACTCACACCACGACGCGGGCCTCGAACGACTCACACCACGAGGAGCCCGAACGACTCACACCAGGACGAGGGGCCCGAACGACTCACACCACGAAGAGCCCGAACGACTCACACCACAAGGAGGGGCCCGAACGACTCACACCAGGACGAGGCGCCCGAACGACTCACACCACGAGGAGCCCGAACGACTCACACCACGACGCGGGCCCCGAACGACTCACACCACGAGGAGCCCGAACGAGTCACACCAGGAGGAGGGGCCCGAACGACTCACACCAGGACGAGGGGCCCGAACAACTCACACCACGAGAAGCCCGAACGACTCACACCAGGACGAAGAGCCCGAACGACTCACACCACGAAGAGCCCGAACGACTCACACCAGGAAGAAGGGCCCGAACGACTCACACCAGGACGAGAAACCCCAAACGACTCAAACCACGAGGAGCGCTTTCTCTCCCTCCTCCTCCGCCTCGTCCTTCTCCCGCTCCCACCACAAGGAGGATGTACAAGGAGGCGGGAGGAAGGAGGAACAGGGGAGATATGCGGGGGCAGGCGGAAACACGCCTGAAAAACACGACTGTCGGCATGCTTCGCAAGAGTTGCTGTTTTGAGATGGGCTGGTGGGGATACGCGAAGCGTAAAGAATTCAAAATCGCGCGTCCAAAAACCGTACAAAAACACAAGGCTTCGCCACACGGATTTTCAAGAAAAGCGTGCGCGCGCGCTCTTGCGGCGTCGTCGTCGTCGTCGTCGTCGTCGCCGTCCTCCCTCCTCCCGCGTCGTCGTCGTCGTCGCCTACGTCATCCTGTGTCTTTCCTCGTGTTCGTCGTCGTCGTCCTCTTTGGCGTCGTGGTAGTTTCCGTCGTCTTTGTCGCCGTGGTCGTCCTTAATACTCCTCCCTCGTCGTCGTCGTCGTCGTCCGTCGTCGGCGTCTCGTCGTCGTCCCTCCTATTTCGTCGCCGTCGTCGTCGTCGTCGTCGTCGTCTCGTCGTCGTCTTCCCTCCTCCCTCGTCGTTGTCGTCGTCGGCGTCGCCGTCCTTCCTCCTTTTTCGTCGTTCGCGTCGTCGCCGTCCTCCCTCCTCCCTCGTTGTCGTCGTTGTCGTCGTTGTCGCCGTCGTCGTCCTCCCTCCTCCCTCGTCGTCGTCTTCGTTGGCGACGTCGTCGTCGTCTTCGTCGTCGTCGTCGGCGTCGGCGTCGTCGTCTTCGTCGTCGTCGACGTCGGCGCTGTCGTCGTCGCCGCCGTCGTCGTCGTCGTCGTCGTCGTCGTCGTCGTCGTCGTCGTCGTCGGCCGTCTTGCTTCTCCGGCCTTCTTGGGGCGCTCTTGAGACGCCCCCGAGGGCTCCAAGACGACCCCGGAGCGATATCTGTGCTCGGTCCCGCATGGGTTTTGCAAACCAAGTTGCGGGTGGGTGGGTGGGATGATTGCGCGAGCAGTGGAGTTGACAACTTCAAGTTCGGCAACTGGTTGATTCTCCTTCTTAAAAGGAGAATAGACTCTACCCCCCCCCGGACTTATCGGTTCCCCCTGGGATAATATGATTTCATATATATATTCTGCACACTCGTCCATCCTAAATATGAAATCATACCATCCCAGCCAGGCCGGGTTCCCCCCCCTTGAGGTTCCCTTGTAACAAACACTATGCGGTGACATTTTTGGTTCTACCATAACACTTGTTCACGAATCCCTTGCAAAAATGAAACGAAGTGCACACGCGCGCGTCGTCGCGCGCGCATGCCGAAATCCTTCAAAAACCTTCGGTGCGGGAAGGATGTCGCAATCGAGTTTGCAAAAAAACATACAAAAGCACAGGGTTTCGCAACACTGGTTCGCTAAAAAAGCTTCCGCGAAAGCTCTTGCGAAATCTTAAGAAAACCATTGGTTTTTCAAGATTTTCACGAAATGCTACCAAACGGGCTTCGCGCGCGCGCATGTCGAAATCTGTCGAACGCCCTTGCGCGTGTGCCGTCGCGAGAATCCTCTGCAAATAATGGGACGAAGTGCAGACGCGCGCGTCGTCGCGCGCGTATGCTGAAATCCTTCAAAAATTCTCGGTTTCGGAAGGATTCCAAAATCGTGTGTCCAAAAAATCTACAAAAACACAAGGTTTCGCAACACGGATGTTCAACAAAAGCGTGCGCGCGCGCGCTCTTGCGTCGTCGTCGTCGTCGTCCTCCTTCCTCCCTCGTCGTCGTCGTCGTCGTCGCCGTCGTCGTCTTCTGTCGTTCCTCGTCGTCGTCGTCGTCTTGGCGTCGTCGTCGCTTCCGTCGTCGTTGTCGCCGTGGTCGTCCTTCCTCCCTCGTCGTCTTCGTCGGCGTTTCGTGGTTGTCCCTCCTATTTCGTCGCCGTCGTCGTCTTCGTCGTCGTCTTCACTCCTCCCTCGTCGTTGTCCTCCTCCCACGTCGTCGCCGTCGTCCGTCGTCGGCGTCGTCGTCGTCTTCGTCGTCGTTGTCGTCGTCGTCTTCCCTCCTCCCTCGTCGTTGTCGTCGTCGGCGTCGCCGTCCTTCCTCCTTCTTCGTCGTTCGCGTCGTCGCCGTCCTCCCTCCTCCATCGTCATTGTCGTCGTTGTCGCCGTCGTCGTCCTCCCTCCTCTCTCGTCTTCGTTGGCGACGTCGTCGTCGTCTTCGTCGTCGTCGTCGGTGTCGGCGTCGTCGTCGTCTTCGTCGTCGTCAACGTCGGCGGTGTCGTCGTAGTCGGTGTCGGCGGCGCCGTCGTCGTCGTTGTCGCTGTCGTCGTCGGCGTCGGTGTCGTGGCCAAATGCCATGTGATACCTACCGTCACGGTCTTGTCTTAAGAGGTCTTGCGACCAAGTCGCGGGTGGGAGGGTGGGATGTTTGCACGAGCAGTAGAGAGGACAGCTTCAAGACGGTCAAAGTGGATTGCACACCATAGATTGCACCGCACATGTTGCACCACACAGGCTGCACCACACAGGTTACACAACAACTGCACAACAGATGCTGCACAATCAAGATTGCACCGTGTGTGTATATATACATACGTAAATAACGATGTGTATATATATAAGAAACATATAGATGTTGCACCACATTGGTTGCACAACATAGATTGCACAACATCTATTGCACAGCAAAAGGTGCAGAAAATAGGTTGTTCCACCGATATTGTACAAGATACACTTGCAACACATAGGTTGCATTACCTCATATCGCGCTACATATGCTGATCCACCGAAATCGTACGATCTAGATTGCTAGAACACACACTGTCGTGGGCCCACGTTGCTATATCTATATATATATATGATGCATACATACGCTCATGGACTGGTAGACAAATACATGGACGCACAAATACATGTTGATGTTCTGGGATATGCCCACTCGTGACTTGGAATCCGGGTCCAATGCAATACAAATCCAGATGATGTCAATACCCCCCTTCCAACCCTCCTTATCACCCGCAGGGTGGTCTTTTCCGTATACTATACCATGCCCAGAGCCAGTCTATGACTTCGGATGCTTACCAATTACCTTCGGCGCACGCGGCGAGCTGGGTAACAATCAATTTCTCGAGCGTGACAGGGCAAAGGATCACCAAATGCCACCCATCGCTCTTCAAGGCCCGACAACGATGCCCCCGTGGCATGGTGCGAACATGCTGCTTAAACACCATGGCGCAGGACGCTCGCACGGGCCGCCCGCCTGGCGCGGAAGAAGCGCGCGCGACCGGCTGGTGGGGGAAGGCGGAGCAGTGCCGCGGAGAGGGGGCGAGGGGCCTGCCTGCGCCTGCCTGCGCCAGCTGCACGCAAAGAGCCACCCTGGCCAAGAGTGGCCTCTGGTGCGCGCCTCCGGGGGGAGAGGGGGGGAGGAGGGGGGGAGGAGGGAGGGGGGGAGGAGGGAGGAGGGGGGGAGGAGGGGGGGAGGGGGGGAGAGGAGGGGGAGGAGGAGGGGGGGGGGGGGGGGGGCGAAACGCAGGCGCGCAAGCAGCTGCTGTCGCATCGCGCTCGGCGATCGGGGGCCCCCGGCGGCCCCGCGCCACAGGCTGGTTCGGCGACGGGTCGCTCCTGCTCATGACCGCCTGCCGCTCTCGCTCTTTCTCGAGGCGGCGAGGCGAGGCGGAGCGGCCGGGCGGCGGGCGGCGCGCGAGCCCTTTTCTCGGGCGGCGCACAGAGGGGGTGCGGGGGGCGGGGGGAAGGCTTCTTAGAGGGAGGCTGCTTCTTAGAAGGCGCCGGCCCTACGTCTATAGACAGGGTCCGCGCCTCCTACGAAGCAGGCGTGCTGCCAAGAAGCTGTCCCTCTCCCCCTACCCCCGTCTGCGCGTGGCCGACAACACCAACACAGGAGTTGCCTCCGCCAGGGGGGGAGATGATCCCATATGTTGGCGTCGGTGATAATATTCTGGCCACCGAGAAGCGGGTCCTGTTTTATCTTCCCTCTACAATCACACAATATGAATACTACTCTCCTCTCTCCCCTGACTCTGTCTGGAGCATGTTCGGTCCCCCTCCGCGGCCCTCCGCATATTGTTTTTACCCACGCCATTCCGGCGAATTGGTCCTTTCTGTGTTTTTTCACATCCGTTTCTTTCCGATCCTTCAAAATGCTGCTCCCGCTGAAGCGCTGGCCTCATTTCGGGCTTCCGTTGGTTCCGAAGAATGCTCCCGCTGCAGCGCTGACCTCGTTTCCGCGCTTCCGCTCGTTCTGGATCGCGCTTCCGCTGCAGCGCTGGCCTCATTTCTGCGCTCCTGCTCACTCCGAATCGTGCTCCTGCTGCAGCGCTGGCCTCACTTCCAGTGCCATGCCATGGCATGCAATGAAATATTATGATGTGTTCCGCTGTGCGATGTCATGCCTTCAACTGCAATGCTGTGATATGCAGTGTTTCCTGACTACGCAGTGCCACGTCATGCTATGTCATGCTACACGTTGATTTTCAACGCTACGACATCCGACTGCGCGAATAGAGAGGAGATCTGCGCCATGGTAAGGGGTCGGAGGGAGGGGTAGGACGTCAGATAAGACACTTGCGCACCTAGCATGTCCCCTCCACCTCCCCCCTCCCCCTAGGTTTGGACAGGGGCGTTGGAGCGTCCAAGATGACCTCGGCGAGGAAGCCACAGCCATTGATTTGACTTAGGGATTGGCCATGTTTTGGCCTCCTGGGGGGGGGGCTAATTGAGGATCCCTCCTTCGATCGATCAGCTCCAAGATAGCCCCAAGATGGCCCCCGAGGCTCCCAAGAGTGCCCAAAAGGGCCCCAAGAGGCCCCCAGGAGGCCCCAAGAGGCCCGCCGAAAGGCCGCCAAAAGGCCCCCAATAGGCTACCAAGAGACTCCCAAGAGGCCCCCCAGAGGCACCCAAGACGCCTCGGGAGGCACCCAGGACTGCCAAGAGACCCCCAAGACGCCCCAAGAGTATTCCAAGAAGCTCTCGAAGAACATCCGAAGGGGCGTCGAGAGGCATCCAAGAGACCTCTGGCCTTTCTGTTTCTCCTTCTCTTCCTCCTCCTCATCTTCCTTTTCCTCTTATTATAACTATCAGTGTTATTGCTATTAGTATTATGTTTCCTTGTATTCTTTTCATTACGATTATTAATCATAATAATAATAATGATAATAATACTAATAATAACAATAATAATAATAATAATATAATTATAATAGAATAATAAATAATAATAATAATAATAATAATAATAATAATAATAATAATAATAATAATAACAACAATACTAATAATAATAAATAACAATAAAAATAAAAAATAATAATAATAATAATAATAACAATAATAATAATACTAATAATAATATTACTAATAATAATACTAATGATAATATTAATCAGAGTGAGGAGGCTGAACCGAACGGTCATTCACTGTCCCTGGGCGCGTGGCTGAAGTGAAATTCCGCGATGCGGATTATCGTTGTTGTTGTTGCTGTTGTTGTTGCTGTTGCTGTTGTTGTTGCTGCTGCTGTTGTTGTTGTTGTTGTTAATGTTGTTGTTGTTGTTGGTGTTGTTGTTGTTGTTCGCTGTTTGCTGTTTGTTGTTTGTTGTTGTCGTCGTCCCACCCGCGACCCGCCCCGCGACCCACCCGCGACCCAGCCCGCGACCCACCCGCGACCCACCCCGCGACCCACCCGCGACCCACCTGCGACCCACCCGCGACCCACCCCGCGACCCGACCGCGACCCACCCCGCGACCCCTCCGGCGACCCACCCGCGACCCACCCGCGACCCGCGACCCACCCGCGACCCACCCGCGACCCACCCGCGACCACCCGCGACCCAAACCGCGACCCACCGCCACCCACCGCCACCCCACCACCCCGCGACCCACCCAAAATCTTCGGCGCCTGCGGCGGGTTTCTTTTGCATTCGTTCCAGGTCGAGAACCTGCGACCCACCCGGGACCCAATCTGCGCCCGCGACCCACCCGCGACCCACCGCGACCCACCCGCGACCCACCCGCGAACCAACCCGCGACCACCCAAAATTTTCGGCGCCTGCGGCGGGCTTCTTTTGCATTCGTTCCAGGTGGAGAACATGCGACCCACCCGTGACCCAAACCGCGTTCAGTGTACAAATCCAAATTTTCGGCGCCTGCGGCGGGCTGCTTTTGAATTTCCTCCAAGTGGAGGTGGAGAGCCCGCGACCCACCCGCGACCCAAACTACGTTCACTGAACAAGCCAAAACTTCGGCGCCTGCGGCGGGCTTGTTCTGCATTCGTTCCAAGTGGAGAACCTGCGGCCCAAACCGCGTTCAATGTACAAATCAAAATTTTCGGCGCCTGCGGCGGGCTGTTTTTGCATTCGTTCCGGCTGGCACCCTGCGCGTCCTGTTAGGAGGAGGAGGAGGAAGAAAAGGAGGAAGAGGAGGAGGAGGAGGCGGACGACGACAACGACGACGACGATGAGGACGAGGACGCGGACGAGGAAGACGAGGAGGAGCAGGAGGAGGAGGAAGAGGAGGAGGAGGGCGCCATCGACAGGGAAGGTGAGGGCCACGAGGTCCGCCGGCTCGACGCTCGCGTCGCCCGCGCCCGCCCCCTCACTCTTATCCGCAATTGCGGGGTGCTACGTATCATTATTCCGTCTATCCCTCATCCTTCCTCCTCACTGGTCACCCTCCCCCTCTCCCTCCCAATCCTCCTCCTCCTCCTCCTCCTCCTGCCCCTCCTCCTCCGCCCTTCCTCCTCCTCCTCCTCCTCTCCTCCTCCTCCTCTCCTCCTACCCTCCTCCTACTCCTACTCCTATCCTTATTCCTTATTAGAATATACTCCTACTCCCCCCTCAGGCCGGCCATTAGGGGCCGCATCCGGGTGGTCCCATCCTAACCTGTAAAAAACAATACAAAATCAACATTTTTCTTATTTTTTCCTCTCGACATGGACGTCCTGTCGTCCACGGCGATAATCCATTGCAAAAAATACCACAAAGAGCACACGCGCGCGTTCATGTCAGAATCCTACCGAACACCTTGTGTTTGCAAGCATTTCAACATAAAAACATCAAAAACCCAATGCTTTTTTCACAAAAATTGTACAAATTTCCCGCCCGGGCTCTCTTGCTGAAATCATAGGAAAACCATAGGAATCTTAAGAATTCGGTCAAATCCAGCGATTTCGCGTCATCGCGCGGTGCACTCGCGATGCTCTGTCATGCACCCAGGCCGCGAATCCTGTGCAAAAAACCACAAAGAGCACACTCGCGCGTTCATGTCAGAATCCTACCGAACGCCGTGTGTTTGCAAGCATTTCAACATAAAAACATCAAAAACCCAATGCTTTTTCACAAAAATGCTTTGGGGTGTCCTGTCAGACCGTCGGGCTTCCTCCGGCCACCTCTGGCTTCCTGCGGTGTACCGGGCCATTCTCGACTCGTCTGGCAATGCGTGCGCGGCATTCAACACGCGCTCGCCAGTTCCCGTCGGCAACCGCCATCGCGGCCGCATCAGCTGTACCAAACCGGCTGGCCGGTGTGACTTCGGCCCCCAGTTGTGCCAGCTTTGCTTCTTATGTTGTGGGAGGGCGGGTGGGACTGGGCATGCCATGCTTGACTCGCTCGAGCTGGCTAGCTTGACTCCTACTCCTACTCCTACTCCTACTCCTACTCCTACTCCTACTCCTACTCATCCTCATCATCCCCCTGCTCCTCAAATTCCTACTCTATCCTCCCCCTCTTGGGGTAAAACCTCTTACCCAGCCCCAGGGCAACTCGTCCGGCCATCGGTTCTGGATGGGCTGGTGGGATTACGCGAAGCGTCTAGAATATTACTCACCACCATCCCTGAGATCGGGATCATCTTCACTCGGTGGAGGCACACCGCCGATATCGGTGCTGGTGCCAACCACTAGGCCTCCGAGGGTGGGGCCAACGGCGGGGCGCCCTCGTGGGCGACAAGCGTAGCCGTACCCACGGCGTCGCGGACCGGGCCCCTCGGGCCGCGACCCCGCGAGTGCGGGGCGTCTTTCCGCGGATGCCCCGCGCGGAACGCATCCGTGCGGCCTCATGTCCGCGGGATCTCGCGACCCAGAATGCAGGCCGCGAGGGCGCTGATACGGATACGCTCGCCGCTCCTGGCGCCCAGCGGCGTCACAGCTCGCCACGCTTGCGGGCCTTCGCGAGCCTCTTCCTGCGGAGCGCGGGGGGAAGGGGGCCGTCATCATGCACACGCATCCTCCGCCCCACCTCCTGAGGAGTAGCGCCTGCCCGTCGCACCACCCAGCGTTTCGTGTTAAGGGCGGGCTGGGCGTTTCACCACAGCCTTCCTCATCGCCTACGGCCTTGAAGCTTGAAATCGAAACAACTACACGGATGAAGGGCGGGTCATTATCTATGTAGGGCTCTAGCCTTTTCGCTGCGCGAAGTCGTCGCAACAAAGCAGCGGCTACAGTGATGGAAGGCGAGTCATTCTCGAAATGGTGCCCTAGTGCTGGCACCGCGCAAACTCGCCTTGAGCAAGTCCGACAGTTACACGGATAGAGGGCGGCTCATGTTCGAAATGATTCTCTCGCCGAATTCCTCAAACAGAGCTGAAGTACCCGCCACCATGTCGAGAGACCAGGTCCTCAAAAGTCCTCAACAATAGTGAGAACTGCCATCTCTGTTGTGGGGCTGGGGGACCAAGTCCCCGATTTCCTGGTCTTCTCGCGTGCCTTCTGGGGCTTCTCTCGCGTTGTCGCGTGGCTGTCGCAGGGGCTAGAACGCGCCAAGGCGGGCCAACAGGGTTCCGAGAGGCTTCCAAGACGGTCCAGGAGGGCCCCGAGACGACAAAGGAGCGCACTAGGGGGTCCCAAGACGGACTCAAGACGGCCAAAGAGGGCCCCAATAGTTAGACCCGCAAGAGGACCCCAAGAGGCCAATATAAATGAGATTCCCTCAGTTCGAGCTTCCAACGCTCCAAAACCACCAATTAGGCCCCCGAGATCGCTGCAAAACTGTCAAAGGAGCCCCCGAGAGGGCCCCAAGACAGCCCAGGATGCGCAGGCTTGACAGGGCCCCAAGAGGGCCGGCCCCGACAGGGGCCAAAGAGGGGGAACTCCAGTTGACATGTCGAGCCTTTCCCCCAAAGATTGCCCCCGAGACCGCCAGCAGGCTCCCAAGAGGCCCCGATGGGCCCCATCAACGCCCCGAGGAGGCCTAAGTGGCTCACGCAAGAGACCCGCGGAGGCCCCCAACAGAGGCCTCCGAGCGTACCCCCGAAGGGCGTCCCAAGAGGCCCCCGAGAAGCCTCCGAGCCTTTGAGAGGCCGCCCGTCCACGGCCCAGGAGCGGTGGCGGGATGGGCCGAAGGCCACTGCTAGAGCTGCGTAGCAGCTACACGGATGGAAGGCCGGTCCCTCTCAGACTGGCAGTCTCGCTCGGCACACCGTGATTTGTCCGCTCCTCCTCGAGAGGCCCTGCGCGGCGGGCCCGCCCGCGCGCTCTGGGGCCCCTCGCGCCGAGCCCTCCCCTCGGCTGCACGCAGGAGCGGCCCTGGCCAGGAGCGACCTTGGGTGCGCGGCTTCAGGGGGGCCGCGGGGTGGAGGAGGAATCGGAATCGGCCCCATCGCGGTGCGAAGATGCGGGGTGGAGGAGGAGGAGGAGGAGGAGGAGGAGCAGGAGGAGGAGGAGGAGGAAGGAGAAGCAGGAGGGAGGAGGCCAAACACAGGCGCGCGAGACGCTGCAAGCTCGCTCGGCACACGTCGCTGGGGGCCCTGCCCTGGAGGAAAGAGAGGCGCAGCAGCCTCCACGGACGAGGGGCGGCGGGCTCCCTCTGCAGAGCGGGGCCGTCGCTGGGTCGGTCCCCTCCCGGAAAAGGTTAGAAGTCGCCCTGCCTCGTCGCGCAGGATGGAAGGCAAGCCCTTTCGACACGGAGCCCCGGCTGCTTGCAGGGACGACTGCGGCAGGCCCAGAGAGTGACACCAACTCCAAAATCGGCGGTGTGCCTCCACCAAGGGGAGATGATCCCGATCTCGGCGATGGTGGTAAAAGTCCTGCTTCCTAGGCGGCCGAACTATTGCCACCAACACCGAAATCTATGATCATCCTCCCCCAGTGGGCACACACCCCTGTTTTGGTGTTGGTGCCAATTTCGAAGCCTCCAAGTTTGGGGGGGAGGCTTGGGACGGGAGGGTGTATTGCAGCATAGGTGGTACATCTTGGGCTTGCTCTGGTCCTCCTCCCCCTCCCCATCATCATCTACATTCGGCTCCTCCTCTTCGTCCTCCTCCGCCTCCTCCTCCTCTTACCATGTTGCCTGCAGACGTGTCGGCAGGGTGGGCTGGGGGGTTCGACTGGAACTCCCTCACTACTTATGATCCAGATGCTTGAACTCGAATCAGCTACACGAATTGAGGGGCTCGTTTTCAAAATGGAACTGTCGCCTTGGCGCCGCGCGACTTCAAAGCTTGCGATCATTATGAGGATGGAACACTTGTCGTTTTCATGGTGGACCTCTGGCCTTGCACCGCACGTTTTCGTTTTAAGAGCTTGCAGCAATTACAAGAATGGAACACAGCTCGTTTTCAACATAGGGTTCCCGCTTTGGCACCGGGTGCATTCGTATTGAAGCTGGACGTTCAGAAAGACGGACTTAAGTTGGGCTATCGCCTTAGCACCGCGCACACTCGCACTAAAGCTTACAACAGTTAAAAGATTGAAGGACGATTCCTTTTCGAGCTTGAGCCCATGATTGCAACCTCCTTCAATGCGGAAGTCGGAAACTTCAGCATGCGCAGCACCTGGCCGGAGTGGGGGCGATTCTCTTTATTATGGGGGTATCGTTTGAGACCGTTGCGCAGTTCATGGCCACAAGAGAAATATTGATGCAACGATTGAAACAGGTGGGGAGCGGTCCTTTTCCAAAACGGTGATCTCGCTGGACGCCTCGCTGAACTGCGTGAACATACACGCTCGCATTCCTGCTTACGCGCCAGAAGGATGCAAGACAATTCCTTTTCAATTCGGAACTATCGGCTGAATGACAGGCCGGTAGGTTGCTGGTCTTCCAGCAGGGGGGGCCTTGATTTCAGTGAAAAGGAACGGGTGTAAAGACTTCTGAGGAGGGGACTTGGTACGGGAGGGTGCGTCACAGCATCGCTGATGCATCTTGGGCTCAATCTGGTGTACTCCTCCTCCACATCCTCCTCCGCCTCCACTTTTCTCCTCCTGCTCCTCCTGCTCCTGCTCCTGCTCCTGCTCCTCCTCCTCCTCCTCCTCCTCCTCCTCCTCCTCCTCCTCCTCCTCTTCCTCCTCCTACTCCTCGTCTTCCTTCTCATGGTCATACTGTGTTTCCTACGTTGTCTCGTCATCCTCATCCTGCTCCCTCTAGATATTCTCTTTATCATCCTCCTCCTCCTCCTCCTCCTCCTCCTCCTCGCTGACCTCCTCCTCTCCCATGCATCCATCCCCTTTCCTTCTCTAAACTCCCCCTCCGCCCAGACCGTCCTACGGACGGTCTGGGCGGGTTGCCTGCAAAGCCTGCTTCCGACAGTTCCACAACAGGAGCAGACATCGTGCTCAAATTCTTGCCATCGCCTCTGCGGCAAGCACGTCTGCCGTGAATTTTTTGCACGCACGTGGATGGAGCACAGGCCTGTTCGAAGGTCTTGCTATCGCCTGAGCGCCGCGCGATTTCGTCGTGAATGCTTTCAACGGTTGCACGGATTGACGCCAGCTTCTAAGATTGGATCTCGCCTTGCAGTCTCGCACATTCGCCTTTAAACTAAGCACCCACCTACCAATAATACGGATGGAAGGTGGTATCAGCGGTTCAACATGTAATTACAGCGCTTCAGCACGCAGCTGACACCTCTAATCACCCATCGCACTCCTGGGGAAGAGCAGGAGGGGCCCCGACAGGCGGGGCGCGCTCCCCGAGCCGAAAGCCCCACCCGCCCCCGACGCCACCTGAGCCAGCGAGCCGCTGGCCCCAAACACCCCTCAAACATGGGCGTCGCGACAAAAACGCAGCCTGCCTCTCCTGCCCCGGCTTCGGGCGCTGGGAACCTCTCGGCTCGATCGGCCGAGAAATACCGCAGAGACATCGGGTCGCGAGCCCTGGCCGTGGTTCCACGACGTCCGATCTCGTGGCCGAGCCATGCTGGCAAGATCCTGGGGACCTCCGAGCGCCCGACGGGCCTCTGGAGGCGCCCAGACGGAGGTCTCCCGGGGCCTCCTCCGTCGCCTCCTCGCCTGGGGCGCCCGTCCGAGGGTGGGCACCCCACCGCGGGCGGGTCCTGCAGAGCCACTGGCCCTCATCTCAAGCCGGGCACGGCCCTCTGCAGGAGGAATATCCCAAAAACTCATCAAAAAATAGTCTGGGGACGAGGTTTTGAACATTTGTCTGCCATCTCTGGATATGTTTTGACCACGTTTGACTTTTCGCCCAGAATCCCCCTGTAGGGGGACATGCCCGACCCAACCCTAATCGTCCAGGGACGGCCTGGGGATGGCACAGCGCCATCCAGCCTGCAGAGATCGGCTCCCCTTCACGACGACCTGTCAGGCTGCCCTTCCGTGCCAGCCCTCCACTGCGGGAGCCCGGCAGACGGCGGCCACGAGCCCAGAGCGTCGGAACCCAGAGGAGGAGGAGGAGGAGGAGGAGGAGGAGGAGGAGGAGGAGGAGGAGGAGGAGGATAAGGAGGAGGAGGAGGATAAGGAGGAGGAGGAGGAGGAGGAGGAGGAGGAGGAGGAGGAGGAGGAGGAGGAGGAGCGGCGGGTCCCGAGGGAAGCACGGGCCCTGGACCCCCGAGGGCCTGCCTCCAGGACGAGCCCTTCGCCCCGAGTCGTCTTCGGAAGGCCTCCTGGGGCCCGCGGGGGGCCCCAGGAGGCCAGACGCGGCGACGAGCCGCGGGCCCGCGGGGGGCCCCAGGAGGCCCGCATCCCCCATGGCGAGAACTTTTGGGCGTCCGACGCGCGCACCGAAAAAATGGGCCCGATGCCCAACAACGGGTGTTGTCCAAAGCCGACAGCGGCCGCTGCTGGGGGGGGGCGGCCTTCTGTCTCTGCTGAAGTACTACCACGGCCTCGCCGACAGCGGGCCCTGTTCAGAATGAACCAGAACTGC